GGGTATGACAAAAGATATAGTATCATTGTGAAATTATACATTTAGCCCTCAAATTAACTTCAACATGATAGAAGATAAAAAAAAGGACTATTTGTGGAAAGATGCACATAAAAGAAGAACCACTGTGGTAATATTTGATAATAGAGGACTAAATAGGGAAATCTCCTATTATAAAGAACCAATTATGAAATTTACTCTAAAAATAAGATATGCTTTTATTGGAGACGAAAGATAAGGTACCTTTACTTACAATAATATTCAAAGGGTTAAGCTATTTTTAACCAAAATTTGCACCTCATTTTGTACTCGAAAGACATGCACCGACATTTTATACTAGTATGATGATTTACATTGACAAAAAATATTAGTGCAAATTTTTTAATTAAACTAACATTTTCTGCTCATATAAATTGTTAAAATATCATTGCATTTCTTTGAAGTACAAATTGGGGTACACTTTTATATACGTTTGGCATGGTTGATATTCAAAACTGCGGCTCCTCTTTTTTTTTTCAAAACTGGGATACCTCACAAAAAAAGCCTAATGTAAGGAGTCCTACATTTATACTCAAACGTGTCAAGATACAGTATATCTCTCATAGGAAAATGAAATGAAGTGAGAGAATTGACTTTGACAAGTGACGTACGTGCATGTGCAACCGTACAGGGCTGCGTCAAGAACCCCTAACATATGCTCTTCTTAATCTGATTAATCCCAGATTTAATTTATTTTGTTTCCCTTCATGATGAACTGTTTTTTCTTGCCATAACTTGTTTTTTTATTTCTAGAGTCAACTGAGAAATAGTAAGCCAAAGGTGCTGCCAAAACTCTTCTTCATATTAAAAAATAAAAAATTTGAATAATGGCCTCGATTGTAACAACTAGCAAACAAAACCCTTGTCTGCTGTGCTTTAGAAATAGTTTAAAAAGAATAATACAACGAAATATTCAAAGAAAAATACACTGGCACATGTCTTAAAATGGAATCCACGATAAAAATAATAAATCAACAGACGATCCCACTTTATTTTTATGTTGAATTGAAATTAATTAGACTTCATTAATTTGCATGGTCTTCAATTCGGACGTACTCCTTCAGTTCTTTTTTAACAAACTTCTACGAGTATGACTTTTAAATATACTCCCTCCGTCCTATATCTTTCTTCTCGTTGCGTAAAATGAAGAAAAATCCGAAGTTTTTTCAATCTATTTTATTCAAATATTGGTATAGAAATAAAAAAATAAAACATACATATTTAAAAACTATATCAAAAGTTCAACAAAACTAGTGACAAGAATATTTTATTTTATCATATAGGCCATGAAAAAACACAAACAAATATAAATTCCCGAAACAATTTCAACCTAACTTTTTGCGCATCTAACAAAAAAAATTTGCCCCACTTAAAATTCTCATGAACACACCGCAATTCTCCTTTATTGCGGGTGTAAGTCGTTTTGGGGGAATTATAGATATTTTAGTTGTGACAGAAGTATTTTGTGGGATACTCTAAAGATAAAGGATTGACTGCCACTTGCCTCCTTACTTCTTGCACTCTTTCCCTCTTTTATGCTAAGCCAAATTAATTTTAATAAGCTCCTTCGAGAATTTCTTTTTGTATCTTTACCTTGATATTTTTTTAAACCCAATAGGGTAGATAACTAGTTTTAGTAGGATCACAAAAACTCATCTTCTATATAAGTAAGTGTTCTTTCTCATAACAATTCTCCTTCTCTCTCTCTCTCTCTCTCTCGTCCTCCCTTGTCCTCTCATCGCCAAACGCCCCCAGTGTGTTGGACGAGATTTGCGTGTCTCAGCAACCGCCAACCACTCCCGTTGTAGGTCATCCTCGTCTATAAATAAATAAATCATGATTTTAAATCTTTCGGAACAACTTCATTTTAGATTTCAAAACATATATCATTTCTTCTAGATTTCAAAATTTATATCATACCATATTTTTAAACTCACCATAAAACCCCTTTTCTGATCTCTTGCTGTGAAATTTGAATTTTTTAAAATTTATTGTGAAATAAACTAACTCAACCAAAAGCTATATTCTAACACGCCTCCTCACGTGTAGGCGTAGTCTTTTTTGAGTCTTGCACGTGAAACTATATTTTTCTTAAAACTGGCTGGCGCTGAGTTTCGAACCCGTGACCTCTTAGTCAACAAAGCTCAGATACCATGTGAAGGAACCAACTCAACCAAAAGCTCAAACTTGTGGTTGTGGCGCAGAAAGGGTTATTTATATTCTAACATTTATTGTATTTAATTATTTAATTTGTATAGAAATAAAAATGAAATTTACTTGTTTAATAACTATGTCAAAAACTCTACAACATAAAAGGTGACAAGAATATTGAAGCACAATTTCTTGAAACGCATAAATAAACAAAAGGGAGTATCAAATACCGGAGTAAGTAATTAAAACACATAAATAAACAAAAATTACCGTAAATATTGTTGAATAGTGCATAGTGCTATACCATCTTTTGGCACAGAGGCAGTAATATGCCTCTTCTGTCTATGAAAGATGTTTTCTTCTCATCTTTGACTGATTAGACAATTGTCTAAATACTTCTTATAATTTTAAATAAATAAATATTATAAAAATTTGATATATCAAAACTAATTTTAAACTAAATCCAATTATGCTAGTATTACATTTATTTTATAACAATATATATATATATATATATTTCTTTTTTAGCATTTATAGGTAAAGTGTGTAAATTTAACTAATAAATTAAGAACAAAATATTTGAGTGGCAATTTGTACATATATCTAGGATAGGATCCCATTGGAATAAGACGAAACCCCACGAAAGCACGTCCCTTTTTGAGAGAGGGTGAGAGGAGAGTAAGAGATGCACAGTGAGTCTATAATATTGGCTATGGGTAGAGGAAGATACTTTTGACGATTATTGGTCGTCGGTCAAGCATGCATGCATATATTCCCTCCGTCCCAGAATATTTTTCTACTTTCATTTTTGCACACCATCTAATACACTTCTTTAATCCATTTTACCTTGTAATTTGTATATTAAAAAATTATAGAAATTACTCCCTCTGTCCTAAAACTTTCTTCCTAGAGCACTATTCCAACTTCACGGGAATTTATATTTATTTGTGTTTTTTCATGGCCTATATGATAAAATAAAATTTTCTTGTCACCACTTGTTTTGTTGAACTTTTGATGTAGGTTTTAAATATGTATATTTTATTTTTTATTTCTATATCAATATTTAAATAAAATAGATTGAAAAAACTTTGGATTTTTCTATGTTTTGCGAACCGGGAAGAAAGTTTTAGGACGGAGGGAGTATATATTAATAATCTATATGTTAAGACAAATCAAACACGATTACACATGACTATATCTAGGCTTACACATTGAGAGAATTTGATAAGTCAAAGTGTTTAGATGAACAGTTCCAATAATCAAAAGTGGACGAATATAGCAGGACGGAGGGAGTACTCCCTAATTATCATATCATGGGTTAGTTTCCACTATAGGGCACTTGCCTACGTGTTTTTATAGATAACTGTGTCGTTCTCTTATCTTCGCTCTTCACCTTAACTTTTGACCCCTCTCTCTATCTATTCGACTATTTTAACTTTTTAGAGGATTCTCCCCTCTTGTCTTGGACAAGTTGAATTGGTAAAAGTATAGTGAAATTTGCACTAAATAGGACTAAAATATAATGACTTTCCTAATGTATGACTTAAACTTTTTTATTCCTTAAATAGGACTTAATAATGACCTAGTGGAAAGAAAAATATCCAGTAATGATGGACATTTACTTGAAATAATGACTATTTCATAATGACTAAAGGTCCTAAATTGAGAAATAAAAACATATGATCCTATATTGGGAAAGTCATTATGTTTTAGTCATATTTAGGTAAATTTCTCAAAAGTATATGTGTTCATGGATAATCTTGTCAAATCGAAATTGGGATAAGAACCACATATATATTGTTTTTTTCCTAACAAATTAAAGGAAGCATATACTCCCTCCGTTCTCAAAAACATTTCCTCTTTCATTTTTTTCATTTCCAACAAAATATATCAAGCATTTTCTATTAAAAAACCACTTTTGCCCTTACTTTTTCATACCCTACCTATAATATCATACTTTATCTCTAATAATCTATCCATCACATCTTGCTTTCACCTATCACATCAAGGGCAAAATTGAAAGTCAACTACAAAATCAAAAGAGAAACACTTTTTCCAAACGGAGAGAGTAGCTTGTTTTTGTTTTCCTTTTTAAGCAGTTCTTTTAAAAAACAAAGGAACCATATACGTACCGGGTACTCCTACAGTCCCAGTGGCGGATCCAGGAATTGAAGAGACTGGGGGCGAGACTGCTACGGGTTTTGGGGTAGCACCCCCATTTTTTTCCAAAAAAAAAATAATGTGAAATTACAAAAAAAAACATCTAAAAAATATTCAAATAATAATGAAAAATTTTAAAAGTACACCCTAGAAAATTATTTCTCTTAATAATTTTTATTTTCATCTTATGTTTTTGTTATTTTAAATAATTTACAATCATTTTTTTAACAATACATACTTGATTTTCAACTTAATTTTTTTATTGAGAACATTTCATTTTTTGGTGGGGGCATTTAATATTTTATGATGGGGGCATAACAATTTTTTTAAAGAAAATTTAAGATACTCTTTGAAAAAGTTAAAAATTCATTGGGGGCAAGTGCCCCCATTCCTCTCTTATTGGATCCGCCAATGTACAGTCCTACCACGGTGTTCAAGCTATATACTCCGTAAAATATGTTTGTTTAGATTCTATTTTTACCCCTAAAAGTACTACTAATAAAATAATGAAAAAAAATTCATTCAAAAACTAAAAAATATAACAGTGCAAAATTAAATCAAATAATGCATTGGCTTTATTAATATTAGGAGAAAAACTAGCAGAACGAGTCTGTTTGGAAAAAAAACAAATGTTACAAGACTGAAACTTCTTGATTTGAGTACTACTTTTACTGAAAGGAGGTAAAGATAAAACTTGAGGTGATGGATGACTAAGTCGTTGACGGGAAAACGAGATGGACTCGGCTTGAGACGCATGTGATTGAGACTAGAAAATATAGACTTCGTTGCGTGCTTCACACTGACCAATCTACTTCTTCGTAGTTCGCTTCTGTATCACACAAAATTGTTCATCAAAGAAAACATGACAATTATGAGAGGTGATAAGATATCTAACAGAAATCAAATTACGCTTCAATTTGGAAACATATAACACATTGTGCAAAGTCAAGGAAGGCGACACTTGCACCTGACTATACAAATTAGCCACAATACAGGAACCATCTCGCAGAAACTGATGGTACAAGGAGACATAGGAATTACAACATCAGACAGATACGAGAGCATCCTCTTCCCGTATGAGAAGCTTCACTAATCACTATCAACAACCTACTCACAAGGCACAGTGGAAAACATACCTTGCAATTTATCGAAGGAAGCTAGTGCAACGTCGTCAATCCTAGAGAGTAAGCGAGCAACCTGATCAGGCGAAAGTGAAGCAAGGGAAGGGGTAGCACGTCGGCAGCTACATTGCTCAAATTAAAGGTTGTCCAGTGCTAGTGCGTTGTCCGGCATAGGCCGGCCGGCATTATGACCGACCACCGCGATTTGCTTTGCGACCTCCCCCTTGGTGAGTAGAACTGTGTCCGTGGCCTCTTCCCAAACTAGAAAATCCAACGATCAAATAACAAAGATCAACATACAGTATGTCCTTGCTTGCCACAATGAGTGCGTGAACTAGAAATCTAGAATGAATTTGTCACGGGATGATTAGCAACAAATGCCATAGTATTCCTATGATCATCACGTGAACGCACCATGTATAGTATGTTGTCGCTCCTCTTGAGTAACCAAGTAGCTGGAAAGCCTTTTTAAGTCCGGAAGAGGCTGGGTACCAAAAACTTGTCCCCGAATAGACCCAAATTGTTCTGCATCTAGACCCAAGAAAAAGTTTAGTACAGTCTTGGCTGATCTTAATGTAGTTATATTTAAAGCTATTTCGATGTGGTATAATCTTATATGATCTGAATGCAATAAGAATAAGTAATAAATAAAAAAAATAACTTGAGAAGAACATGGCCTTAGTAGTTAGGTTCTTGAAAGATAAGATTTCACTGTGTCTAAGCTATGTATTCGGTAAAATAGTTTTGTTTATTTTCCATTTTTACCCCTTAAAGTACTATTAATATTATTGAAAATAAAATTTGATCACTAAAACTAAAACATAGTCCTATTATTCCACAAATATAAGACTTATCAGTTCTTTTTCTTAAAGTAATAATTAATTTAACTAAAATTACCAAAATGCTCAGCAAACTCATCTTCAAGTTCCTTGCTAAAGCTAGGCTGACATGTTGAGGGTCTCTCGCTGCATCTAGCTAGGAGTTGGTCCTTTCGTTTGGGAGGTCATGTCATGCTTTTAGTAACTAGAGCAATGTGATAGGTATATGCAGTTAATTATCAATTTTCTTCTTCTCCAACTTGTGCTCGTAAATTCTTGGCTCATCAAGCCGTCCATATACAGTTCTATATATCTTCTCCCACGGTAGTACTGCACCACGGTGCCCTTGGTGTGCCAATTGGCAAAAAGAAAGCGAAACAATCATGCATTCTTCTTCTTTTGAGAGAATGTGCGGTCTAACGATAAGAGGTCATTCAAGTGTGGTTTGATTCTTACATATCATTACAATTTAGAGAAGGTAAGCTATGTTTTTATAATTATATTAGTCCACACTAAGTCAAATACAAAGTTTAGAGGTTTGGGGGGGGGGGGGGGGTTCATAGTCTTCGTTAGCTTTTCAAAGATTTCTTTACAAGCAATGTTTTAAAAACAAGATGGAAAATTAGTGAACTGGTTTGATCGTAACTTGTCCTAATATTCCAAGTGTTGCCCAAATTTAAAAATGTGGATAGAAACCACGCAATGTTTATGACTATATACCCATATGAAAACATCAACAAGTGATTAAGATGATGTAATTGCATCACCTAGAAAGAGGATGATGGCCTAGTGATTAAGATGATGGTAATTAGAAGTGTGGAAGAGGTTTTAAAAGTACCCTAAAAATTAAGCAAAAAAAAAAAAAAAGAGAAGGCACAACTAAGGTATCTATTAGTAATGGACAACAACCCAGTTACAATAGTACACAGGAGAGAAGCTCAATCAGTTCTTCTCATTTTGACATTAATGGGAGTCTCTTTGTAGGACTGAACCTTCTCAGCTGCTTTCCGCAGCGGCCTTCCAATGGAAGTCCTGTTTGGTTGTTGGGAAGCAGGACGCTTATCATGAAGAAATTGTGCTTCAATGTTTTCTTCTAACTCAAACAAGTCCTCAACTGGCTCCTCCTGCTGCTTCTTCGTTGTGCAACTGGTTGACTGCCTCCTTAAGCGGCGCCTGAACCATGTGTTGGAAACATGATGATGAAACACCGATTTTGATGAGTCTCAGTAGTTATGACCCCAAATGATGATTTAAATGGCTCTTTAGAACATTGGGAATTTGGAAGAACATATTATTTTGGCCATGCACATATAAAATTACACTTACCGTTTTCCTGCAGCTTCTTCTTTTCCAACTTGTTGGGAAGCAGTGGAATGGCTCATAGCTGGAAACATTAAGTTTCAAGAGTTTAAAAGAAATTAATAAATGAAATAAGGTAGTGTTTGGGAACTAGCATTTCATTTCAATTCCAAAATTTGAATTCTTGAATTTCAAATGACAAGGAGAGATACATGGATTTCAACTTGAGCTTTGTTATGAACTAGAGGAATTTGACTCGAATCCAAATCCAAATTTTTTATGTTTCCCAAACAAGGAATTTGAACCAAATCCAAATTCCCAAACATACCATAATAGATTTGAGGAAACCCAGCAGCAAGAAATCTAGTGCTTACATCGACTTCTTGTGGGGCGAAGCGGCCTTCCTATACTAGGTTTGCTGTTCTCTACATTCCTTACTGAAAGAGCATTTGCTGTCGCAGCCTCCCCATCCTGATTAGTATTTTAGAACCAATTATTAGTACCTTGAGCTAATTAATAGTGTTATACAGGGAAAAATGAAACCCCTTTGAGATAATATACCTGATTCTCATGCTTTTCGCCATTGGTATTTTCTTGTTCCTGAAAGTAGCAATATAAATTTCAACAATTTCGTGGAGAAGGGGTAGTAATGGTCAATGCAAGACATAGGGCATAGCTTAGAGAACCGAAAGAAGCATCTAAATGAGTTCTTTTTTTCATCAATAAAGAAAGATTGAGTATTGACTTATTAGTTCATATTTAGGCATCTTAAACCAAATCAAGAAAGAAGCATTGCTCTCTTCTTGAACTAATGAACCATTAGAAACACCTAAAAAACATTATGGAATACGAGTACTAAGGGTCTGTTCTTTTCAACCGAAATTTACTGAACTCGAGTGAACTAAAATCAAGTAGAAAAGAATACCAAGTACATGTACTGAAACAGAGAAGAGAGAGTATTTCGCAATATAGCATTAAAGAGATCCTTTTACCTTTGCTTCCAATAGCTTTGCTTTGTGTAGCGCTTCCTTACAAGCAATCTCATGTTGAAGTGACATCAACTAAGATTAAGATGATCAAAGGGAATTGTTAGAAAGGATTAGAGCACATAAAATACCAAATAGCCTTGCAAATCAATATTAAATTTGGCATCTTTTTCCCATTTCATAAAAAAAATAAAACTTACCTTTTCTTTATTGAAGGCAAGTTCCTGCAAGAAATACACAGCACACATATCATCAACAAGATTGTGAATATGTTTATATACAATCTATAATAGTATAATATGAGATAATGTGTGGAAAAACCAACCGCTGTCATTTGACTGTTTGACTGAGCAAGACTCCGGTTCTGAATTTGCATTTTCTGAAGGGTAACTCTCAGTTTCTGAATCTCAGTTCCGCTCAATTCTATTATTTTGCTGTAAACAAAGTTCAAGAATATCGTGTGACCTCAATTCTGAAATCTTCAAAAAAAACTGAAAAAAAACATAAATTTTTAAAGACGAAAGCAAATAAAAGCTTACTTTTTGTCCTGAAAGAGTTTCACTAACGCCATATTTTCCTATTCCAAGAACACATCGCAAGAAAAGAGTCAAAATGATTGAGTAAAAAACAAGAAACTAAATACAAAAATCTAAAGAACGGTCTTTAATAGAAAGTTTGCACTACCTTGACAAGATGATCCGCATAGTCCTCCAAAGAATCGTCTTTCCTCATATCCATGGCGGACTTGGGTTGTGGCATGATGTTGGTGATGTCTGAGAGCTTCTTCTTGACAGTGGTGCCAACAAAGAATGACCTTCTTGCCCCTCTTTCCGGCCTTATCATTCTGGGCAAATGGTGAAATTCAGCCGAACCCACAACACAGTAAGCCCCAATTGCCCAGATTCAAGAACCCTAACAGAAAGGAATCAAAGTTCTCACCCAAGAATCAATATCCAGAGCAAAACAACAATTAATTGCAAGCGGTGGGTGTGGATTTCGGAGTAAAAACAGCTCTGGGTTTTGAAGTAAAGCGAGACCAAATCTGGGAAATGGAATGGGCAGTTCAAAGAGGAACACAATAAAGGCAAGAGAAAGGTAGGTTCGGAATTCCAACGGCTTCCCGAAGCAATTAAAGGTTTTGCCAAGGATACAGACCTATTTTCAAATTCGTAGACTGATCGCTTTTTTTCCCATAAATAAATAAAGATAGGTCTAAGGCTTCGTTCCGTTCAACTTATTTTTTCTCATCTGATTTAATTTTTGTTGTTCTAATATAATTTGATTTGATCTGATTGAATCCGATATGATCCGATGTGATCTGATCTGATCAATTATGATTTTATTTAAAATTCAAATCAATAATTTGATCTGACTTTATAATAACTTTTGAAAATTATAATGATAATTCATATTATAATATAATCAATATTTTTTATTTTATGATCATTTTTTAATGAAAAAAATGAGTTAATTCATATATTAAAATAATCATTCATATTATAATGTAATTATATAATGTAATAATATTTTTTATTCATATTTTATAATGTAATAACTTTCAAAACTCAAATTACAGGTAGCAATAAAAATGTATTTTAAAAGTAGAATTATATTGACATTGTCAATGTATTTTAAAAATAATTTTTTCGACGTCTAATAATTAAAGATTACTTTCTCAGTTTTCTATTTAACTTGTTTTTAAAGTTTTTTCTTTTTCATTTCATAGTTTATGGATATAGTCTTTCATCAAAATCCTAGTCCAGAGCATAGTCAATATTGTTGTGTTGTCCGTTTAATTGACACTAGAATACGTCACTGAATATAAGGTTGATGTCAATTCATACTTTTAGACCTTAAATGAACACCAACATAACGAAAAGTCAAAAAAGAATATTTATGAAAAGGTACTCTCCTACAAGAGAAATATTTGATAATAGAGAACTAATTATAGAGAACCTCCTATTATCAATGATCAATTATGGAATATGTTCAAAATAAGAAGTTAGGGAGTTTTTTTTTTTTTTTTTTGCACATGGTACTATGGTAGCATAATTTTGTCATGAAGCCAAATGTATAAGTTTTTTTCCTAAGTTGAACATTTGCAAGTAAGTGAATAGATAGTTAGATACCCTTTAAATGTGTGAAAGAGAGAAATTGGGTAATTACACATTTTAATTACTAGTAATTTTTTAAATTTCAAAGAATAAATAAGCACACTTTAACATTATCAGATATTTACAAAGTATTATTTAACGGTATAAATTAGTTAGACGAGACTAACTATTCTTGATTAGAGCAAGAATATAATAACGAACTAAATCTTCAAACTAAACTAAGATATAAGAGAGGAACAAGCAAAAGGCTAGATTACCAACTGGTCTTATGAGAACTTGAGCATCTCAATTTACACCTAGCCCAAGCCAAATAACCATTTTGCCCAAGTGATCCCAAAATATCTTGGATATGAGAACTTGAGCATCCTAATTTAGCCCGAGTAATTTCTTCTAAGAGTATGCCCAATTTAAAATATATTTGGATACTAGACAACATTTTCTGGTTTGATCCAATCAGTATTGGGTTTAGACCCATCATTGTCCATATCCATATTGACAAATACTTCTTCCGTCTTCAAAAAATTGTCCCTTTTCAAACGTGTAAAATCCAAATTTTTTAATGTCTTTATTTACAAATTGTTATAAAAATAAAAAGTACTCCGTACAATTTAAAAATTTAAAAACTACATCAAAAATTCTACCAAATAAGTAGTGGCATGGTTATTTTATTTTATCAATATTACAAACTACTTTGCATCAACCACCCATCCCTCATAGTGTGATGTTGTTATAACTACCTTTGTTTCAGGACAAAAAACATGTTAGAGCTCTACTGTTTAGAATGCAGTTTTTCTAATCTGCAAATCATTTCATTTCTGTTAAAACTAAATAGGATACAAATTTCTGCAATGAACTTCCACTAATGGAAATCACAGAGAGAAAATAGATTTGCAAAAAAAGTTGGTGGCCCATCACTTATCCAAAATGTCTGCCTTCTTCCCATCCCCACCACAGTTACCATTTGCTGGCATTGCCTTGAAAAAGGTATGAAGCTTTACTTCTGACCTGCAAAATTGAAGAATCATATTGTCAAGTTAAAAATTTTATGTGTGAGGGATGGAGAGAAAGAGAGAGGGAAAGAGATGGTCTACCTTTAAAGCATATGACCTCAAATCTGTGCTGCTGATTTGGTAGGAACAGTTACGGAGGCATAATACCCACAACTCGTTTAATTCGGGATCTTGTTTTAGGTTAGGGTCACAGAAGAGCCAGTTTTCAACCAATATCAGGTATATATACATCTTCTCAAGATCAAATTCCTCATCTTTCAGATTAATGGAATTTATAGCCCTTAAGATCCCTTCTCCATCAACTACCTACAAGGACATCATAGCAATGTCGATCTAAAAGTTCAAGCTGATAGGAACAATGGTTCAATGTATTATTATATGTTGGTTTGTATTTTTATATCCGGCCAAGGTGAGATGGTTTAATGTGCATGCAAGATGGTGGTTCAATGGAGTAGACAAATCTTAAAAACAATGTGCTCGTTGTTAAGTCTTACTAATATCAAATTGCTTGTTTGAACTTAGTGCCGTATTAAGACTTGGGATTCCACCCTCGAATGTCAATTTATATAATCTCAGAATAGTTTAATACTCATCATTTTTGTGACGTATAACATGAATACATTAAACAAGGGCATATTAGTCTTTCATGCTTCTATATTTTTATACTCTCTCTCTGTCCAAGTTTATTGTCTCATTTTGGCATTACATGGATTTTAAGAAATGTGAAATTGTGTGGTTGATATGTACGCAAAAGAGAGAAACTATATGCACGGCACAGGCCACAAGTATTACTCTAATGGGAAATGGGCCAATAAGAAAACAATCTGAAAAGGAAAGTGGGGCAATAAAAAAGGGGACAGAGGGAGTATAATTTAGAGCATTCTTAATATGTACTCCCTCCCTCCGGATTTAGTTTTCCATTTAATTGTTTTCATTAGTGAAGAATTAGTTGTCCACTTTCCATATTCAATAAAGAAATTATAATGAATTGTCTCTCCTTATCCTAGAGATAAGGTATGAGCATGGTTGATATCCATATTCAATACCGAAATTATAATGAATTGTCGAAAGTATCCTAGAGATAAGGTATGAGCATAGTTGATATGAATGAATGAACGATAAACTAAATCCGGACGGAGGGACTGTGAAGCTCCAAATAGCAAATTGATAGGATAATTGAAAGCAAAGTAGAAGATTGGAATAGAAACTACCTTACTATCAAAACATGCTACTAGAAACTCAAAGGCTACTGCACTTCTTAAACGTTTAGTGCGAGCATCAAGCACTGAAATACATTCCACAGTTCTCAAGCAACTGATATCGGTAGTCAGTCTGCATTTATTATTTAAAAAAAAAGATATCATCCATTTATGTTAAAGGAAAAAAAGAAATACAAAACAACAAAAAAATTGCTCACTTCAAAAGTGGGGGCTAAAATGGCCAAATCAGGACAGGTAGGGGTCAATTAAGCCTTTGGTTTTTTATTATCAGTCAGAAGATTTGTTACACGGACAACACAGAGCAAGTAACAAAATGAAAACAGAAACAAAGCATTGGAAATTAAACAAAACGCAGACTGCAGAGCAGAAAAAATAGACAAAAGCAAACCTGCAGGCGAGAGACTTGGCTATTTTGATACAGCTGACATCAAAATCACTATCACTGAAAACACCTATTAGTGAGCGAAGACATTCATCCAAGATAATGGAGAGGCCAAGAAGTTGTCGGTCCATAAACATGCAGATTACCACAACAATCAAGTCTTCTACCTCTTCAGTTGAGAAGGGTGGACACATAGTCCTACATTACCAAAAATAAGCTCTGCCTCTTTTAATGCAAAAGATATAAAAGCAGTAAAAAAACTCTTTAACTTATTTGAGCTTAGTGGACAACAAACATAGATTGAAGCCCACAGCCTTTAAACTACAACAGTTACAATAAGTCAATAACTAGCTTCAAAATATATTTTTCAGTTTCGATTTTGTATTTTATATTGCATACCTAACTTGGCAACTAGCAGAGACAAACTTTATCCAAGACCTTATATTTTGCGGTGGACCACAAGAATTGGAATCTGTGACAAAAATAAGTGTTCAAGCATGACTCTTTTTTCAGTCCGGGGAGTATAAAATTTGAACATAATTTCCCATCTTTACTAACTAACTCAGTAAAGAGTTACTAACCTGAATGGTCAAGTTCTGTGGGCAATGATGACTTGCAAGGTGAATCCAATAGAAATCCATATAGGTCAAGAGCATTTTTTAATTCCGCGTGGTTTGGCAACCATTCAATTTCAATGTTCTGTTGGTCAATCTATTGAAAAAGAACTAGAGATGAGACTACCAAACAATATATCTGACACTAAAACTCTCAAACTAGTAGCCATAGTATAGAACTATAGATACTGAAAAACCTCATTGCCGGGTAAGAGAATGGAACACCAGAGGTTGCACGCTGCACTCCCCAACTGGATTAGTGGTGAATATAATACTGCAATGGAACAATTGAAAAACGAGATTGCTAAAAAAAATCGATAATTTATCAATCAAGAAAATCAGAATAAAAGTGTACTGACACAAATAGAAGATCCATTTTGCAATGGGTTTTTCAAGTCGACCGCGAGAACTGATCATTCTCAAAAACCACCCGTTTAGGAGCAGTCCCTGAAGAAAACTCTGACCTAAGGAACCAAAAAGGAACAAGTGCCATATTCAATACATTTATTCCTAATAACTATTAAAACAAGACTAAAACAATGAGCTAAATGATCTAATTAAAATAAAATTAGAACTTAGACCTTCCTCCATTTTGAGTTCAACCAATGAATTAAGCTCATGATTCATGACAGACTGCAGAAAGCTGCAATCCCTTAGCTCGGGGAAATCTAGTTCTGGGAAAGCTTTCTGCAAACAATATGTAAGACATAACGATATGTTTATATCAGCAATCAAACCTGCCAGAGAAATGTATGGTGAAATGGAGTTACAGATAACATGCTCATAAGTTACCTGAGTTCCGAAAACTTGAAGACCCCACAAAGGTATCTCATCATCAGCCTTTATTTGATTCATCTATTAAGGCATGGAGAGTGTAAGAGGCTACTCTGTACAAGAGAATAACAATGTGTTAAAAAAAAACTTGGTGGGGAGGGGAGTTTTTTGCCTTCTCCTGGAATTCGTTAACAAAGTCATGAAACTTTGCTTCTCTGGCATCGACGTCATTATCATCGGAATCATACTCTTTTTGGACCTTTGCACGTTTCTTAACCTTCTCCTTGTTGGTGACTTTCTCCTTGTAGTAGTCATTTAACAAGTCATCTAAACCTATAACCCTTTTCCTGAAAAAATTACAGAAATAAAAAAAACAATATGCAACATTACAATGCAATCACTCAATAAGCAAGACTTGTGACTTGGTATTCTGAAGGAAGCATTATTTGAAAAGAAGAAAGAAAAATCTAAAGTGGAGGTACTAAATTGATGCAACACGTATAGGTCTAAATTTTATACTAAAAGCAATATTTTACCCAGAAATTTATAAAAAAAGAATGATATAGAGAACCCTAAATGAGGAATCCATGATTACTGCATAAAAATTAAAGACGAATGATGCAAGGGAAAGAATTAAAGAAAAAATCAGGGTTTACGTTTTCTTGGAGATGGGAGGGGAAACATGAGAAGTATCTTCGAACTCGAAGTCCAGATGTTCATCGGCTTCCATTGTCATCTGCGGTCTGCCTGCCTGTAGAAACAATGGAGCACCCAGAACGCGAATGCTCTTCCCTCACTTGTTCGGGAGAGTGCGTGGGAAATCTAAAGTGTGGGTCAGATTTCGGACTGAGAAAAACCGGGGAAATCTTTTCTTCCCATTTCAACTTCTTCTGTAAGGGGCCGCCGCACGAGATGTAGGACCAACAAGTTCTTTTTTTCTTCAAGGGTCGTCCCGATACACCCCTCAAGACCTCAACTACCGAGGACTCCGAATTTGCGTTAATGGGCTACGAGGTATTGGACTTGAAATTTTTATAACTTTGTAATTTGCATCATTATATATCTCCCAATTAAACATAATGAAAATTGCACTAAGTAGTACTCCCTCCGTCCATGTAAGATCTTCCCATTACGCGTTACGAGGCTTGACCGACTTTATTTTCAATTCAATTTAATTGATTATAGGAGTCAAATTTTAAAATAAAATTTATATAGTAATAAACTACATGAAAAATTCTACAAAACTAGAGGTGACAAGACTATGTTATTTTATGAAATGACTAGTAAAAATGAGCAAACAAAGTGAATAAAGTTTGACCCTGTGAATAGTGTCTGGGAAGATCTATGGTGGACAGAGGGAGTACTAAAATGTAAGTCATTTCTAATGTACTCCGTAGTATTTAAACGTTTTTATTCTCTAAATAGTACTTCAATAATGTCTAGTAACGAGAACAATATCCAGTAATGCTAGACATTTAATTTGAACAATATCCCGTGGCGATAAACATTTACTTAAACAGTGACCAGTGATACACATTGGGAATTAAAAACATATGGTACTACATCGGGAAAGTTACAATGTTTTAGTACTATTTAGGTAAATCTCTTAAACAGACCGAGCCATTTTTCTAATGAAAATTGACGACTATCGAGGTAGGCATTCGAGGACAACCCCGGACCTCGGCGAGCTGCCAATGTAGTCCCCATGTTTTTGGAATTTAATTATATAAAATTTCATTTGAAAAGATAAAAACTTATATGCTGAAGAAATAAAACAAAAAGGAAAAAAAATGATACTCTGTATAACAATATTTTTTAAGACATTATAGTTCACATCAGGGCTCTCAAAATATATCGAACCATTAACAGTTTACACTTTACACAATTTCAATACTAAAATCTTCACAATAATTATTGTTTCCTAGTAGTATCCCCATTCACAACAGGCAACTCCACCTCCTCCTCTGCCTCTCTGAATTTCTTATAAATGTCACCCGTGTAAAACTCCCGAGTCCTCGCAACCAAAACCAGCGAAGAAACCGCCCCGAAGAAAGTGACACCCGCCAGAATCACAAACGGGAGGCGGTAACAGTGGGGCCCCACGCAGCTCAGCTCCCTCACGTCCCCTCTCCCCATCCCCTTCCCCTCCAACTCCCGGAGCGCCTCCCTGTCGTACAGCCGCCCCGTGACCATCACGTTCAGCACGTAGGTCCCGGCGGGGCTCGCCAGCTGCCCGCAGTTGAACAGCGTGGAGTAGTACTTGAGGCCGAAGAGCTCGGAGATGACGGTGAAGAGGAGCGGGAGCTGGGCCCCGAAGGAGAACCCGATTGCGACCGAGGCCACGTAGAGCGAGCCCGGGGCCGGGAACGCGACGAGGAGGAGGCCGCCGCACGAGAGGAGGAGGACGAGCGTCATCATGAGGGGTCGGGGGAACTTGTACCGCCTCAGGAGCGTCTCCGAGAAGAATCCGGAGAAGATTCTCCCGAAGAAGTTCCAGATGGAGAGGAGGGAGACGAAGGTCGTGATCGTCTTGTTCGGGTACCCGAGCGACTCCCCGATCTGACCCATGTTGTCGACCGCCGTCAGGCTCGACCCCATCCCGCAAAACGTGGCCACGAAAAGAATTAACATATCCGTGCTCAGAAGCGCCTGCAATATGCTATAATCCTCTCCCCGTTCCGGCTTGTGGAAGAAAATCTTGGCAAACCATGAAACTTTAGTGTTGTCATCATTCATCACCTCCGGTACCCCCGGTGGCGGCAGTGGTGGCGGCGGCGGTGGCAGTGTGACGGCTTGGAGAGTTTTCTTCTTCCAGAGGAGGAAGTCGTGCCGGGCGAAAAACACGAGGGGGACGAAGAGTAAGAAACAAGAAACGGCAGCGCTGAAATCATAAGCAACTCGGGAAAATGCCACGAGTTTCTGTAGGATTGTCATGACCATTATAAACAAGGCTAAGACAATGGAGGAAATCAAGCACAGGTAGAACATGTTGAGCTCTCTCTTGTCCCTGACAACCTTAATCTCTCTGATTGTGTACACGAACACCATTGAGAGTGCAGCGGGGAGCCAAGCGATGAGCAAGATTAGAGACTCAGAGTCGTTCCCATAGACAGCCAAGTAGAGCTGGGTCATGATGGCCCCGCTCAACCCGGTGAACCCTTTGAGAAGGCCAATCATGGCCCCACGGGACTCTGGGAAGTTCCTTACGGAGGTCACCAGAGCCCCAGTGTTGGCAAAGTTCTGCGAATTTGCACCTATGCAAATGTACAGACACATTTGCCAGACTGTGGGCTTTGGGATTCTCCCTGTAACGGCGAGCCAGATGACGAAGTAGCCGGCGAAGTTCATGGCGGCGCCGACTAGGAGCACGAACCAATTCGGGGAAACCTCGGCGAGGAGGCCGGAGAGAACTCCCACATTGGCCCCGAGATCCTTGGAGAAGCCGAGGAGGTTGAGGGTGGTTTGGTCATACCCCAAAGAGGCCTTTATCTCCTTGGAATAGACTCCGAAGAGGTACGTGGCTCCGGCGCCGGCCATGATCAGGAAAGATGCAAAGAGGGAGAACCATCTTCCTCTGAAGAAATGGGGGGCAAAAGTGAAGGCATTGCTCCTGCAGCATTCATTGTTATCTGATGATGATGATGAAGAAGAAGATGCTTCTCCCATTACTCTTTAATTTGCCCTGCAATTATGAGTAGCAAAATCAAGAATCAAGAAATACTATATATATATCTTGTTGCTTATTTGTTGGTAAGGATAATTGATTCTGAAAAAAATGGGATAAGATATATAGGGGAAATAAATAGATGGCATCAAGAAAAAGGGGATCCAATAATTTAAGAGCATTTGAGAATTGGCTTAGGATAATGCCAAATGGATCAAACTCTCCTTTAATGGGAGGAATATGAGAAGGTGAACTTTATAGGAAAAAGTTATTATTGTGCTATGTGTAGTAAAATGAGTTAGGTAACCTTGGGGCAGTTTAGGAAATGTTAGTGGACAAAAGATACTCCATTTCAAACTAATCCTAATTAGTCCTTTAAATTTCAATGCATTTGCCAAAATGTCTTATTCTACATACTAGTAAAAAAAAGTCCTTGATTACCCAATGATGCATTACAACTTCTAAGGAGTATAAACTTTCAATGATCTAAATGACACAGTAAACTTGTTTTGCGTTTTAATTTTTATGAAGTTTTACTTGGAAAGTAAATGCAACAAGCATCAAAAGTCTAAGTTTAATCTGTACGTCTTAAACCGTGAGCTCTAACAGAGTTGGGATTACACCGGGGTTTTCGGTAGATAGAAGAGGTAGGGATGAAAAAAATTTACCGCGGTAACTTTTGAAAAATTTAACTTTCAATTGCAAGTGGGGAAGACTATAAGTGGGAATTGAAAGTGAGATTTTAAAAAATGAGGTCAACACACAATAGCTCACGAGAAAATGTACACATTCAATAGCCTAATAAAGACTTGTGGATCCTGCGCGCGGTACTTGTTAGGGGTCATGCGTGACAAAAACAGGGGAGCCAGCCTCACAAAATTATTCACCCGTGATATTTTCCAAATTTATAATGATTTTATGGTACACAACAATTATGTATATATCCATACATTACTCTTTTGCAGTTGGATTGGACAAATTTTGATCATCAATTACATTGTAATTTAGTAAAATAAAATAATTTTTTTGAAAATATTCTACAAGATAAATCTAATTTAATTATTTTTGTTCTAGGATGAAATACAAGTGTTAACTAATTGTTAGTTAAAATTCATCCAATTTAACTAAACAAAGTCAAACCGGACAAACATATGGAGACGAAGATAGTACTATTCTTTATCTTTAGAAATACCCATTTTAATAGGGTGTAAATGGGCCGAGCTACCGGCTCAAGCCCGAAGGCTCAAACATTTTGTGAGTGAACATAGACAAAGATTAAGGGTCCGTTTGGTATAAGGAATTGGTGGAATTGGAATTGAATTGGAATTGAAATTCCATGGGATTCAATTATATAGAATTGAATTCTCCAATTCCAATTCATTTTTTGTACTATCAATTCCAAATCCACATATTTTTGTACTACCAAACAATTGAATTAGAATTGTTGTCCACAATTCCAATTTCATAGTTTGAATTTCGTGTACGAAACGGAGCCTAAGTAAATTGGAGACAAAACATTTGAATCATCGACGATATTAGCCCTACACTAATGTACCATTTTGAAGAGCTTCGATTGAAAGAGCACTCAAATCGACAATGATCACAATTAAAGTGGACCTCTAACAGAACTTTATAGGGTGCTAAATATGGAATATCCCCAAATTAGTTACCACACGGCTTTTTTCAATTCATTTTATTTAATGTATGGTATAGAAATAAAAAATAAAATTTATGTATTTAAAAGTTACGTCAAAAAATTCTTCAAAACAAGATATGACAAGACTATTTTATTTTATGAAATAATCGATAAAAACTTGCAAACAAACAAAATTCTCACAATTTTTGAATAGCAAACTGTGACATTTTTTTAAGACTGATGGAGGGCCTGTTTGGGAATAGCGTTAGCGTTTTGAAAAGGCTATCTACGGTCAGCGTTTAGCGTTAGCGTTTTCAAAGTAATCTGCACCGTTAAAATTTTATCCAAAACGCTAACGTTAATCTCTTACGCTATTCCCAAACAGGACCGGAGTGTTGTTGTAGAACAAGTGGTGTACACGTGTTCACCGCCATTTATTCCAACAAACACAGTTGTGTATCTTCGTAAGTAAATGGGAGGCAATGTGGTAGTTAACTTCATTTTAGCAAAGTTTATTGGTCATAAATTTCTCATGCATTCCCTACCTTCCCCCATGAACATATGATGATTACTCGTTTGTTTTAAACTCCCATCACACCAAACAAACAAATTTCCTTTGATATAAATACGCGCACACACACACAAAAGAATCATTGAATTATATTTTGAATCCTTTTAACAAAAAAAATCTAATGAAATAATCTATATATTAAAATTCAACATTATTTTTGTACAACTCATAATCAAAACTCAATCCAATTTGGAAGGAAAAAATCAAATTAAATTCCTCTGGAAGCTAAGGAGGTCCGAAATACTGGTTAAAAGGGAATAAAAGTAAAGCAAGAGAAGAGACGGTTTGTCCCACTACCAAACGTCGTTTTCCCATGTATGGAACTTACGATTCCCACTTTCTACGATCTTCGTTTATCCAGAGCAAAAGTGCAAAGAAATTAAAGCGATTTAACAAATTCCCCCAATTTTTTAGAAGGAAAAAGAAAAGTGGGAATTGGGGATCGAAAATACTAATGAGCAAGAAAGAATCCCAAGTAAAAAAAGTTAATTAATGGCACGCAGTAAAAATTTGGAGTTAAAAACGCTTACTTTTGGGAAGCTGCGGCGGTTTGGAGGGAAGGGGGATGAAGAGGGCTCTCATCTTCGGCCTCCTCTGGTGTTTAATTATCCGCTCTGTGTACGGATTTCTAGCTATTTTTTTCGTCTAGGGATAAACACTCCCATTTCTTTAATATATACTCCCTCCGTCTTAAAATTAATTTCCCATTTGATTTTTCACGGTCTCCAATGCGACACTTTGACCATTAATATCTCTATTTTTATATGAATATACATTATCAAAATAATATATTTCAAAACTATGTTTCAAAATGAATCTATTGATACTAAATTTATATGAAAATTTAATATATTTTTTCCGTAATATGCAGTCAAAGTTTAAAAACTTTGACTGCAAAAATCAAAATGAGAAATTAATTTTAGAACGGAGGGAGTACTACGTACATAACAACATTATCCCGCCGGGATCTTAGCGCTTCCTTACCCTCTTTCTATAAATAAAAAAAATGAGAAGACCTCCTCAAACCTGATCAGACGACCACGAAGAGAAAGTAAATTAAATTTCAATAACAGATTAGTAGTAAAAAGTGGAACATGTATTTGGTATTTGCAGATGCTTTATGCTTAGCATAGTTGCCTCTCAACGCAGTTGTCATGAATCGAACTCGAATCTAATCTCTTGACACATCTTGCCTTGCCAACTATGCCCTCCGGCACCTTACCCTCTTTCTAGTATCTACATGGTGGCAAAAAAGAGGGTACGGAATTATCATTATTTTCTTCTGTTTCTATCTTTCCAGATTGCTTTTTTAATTTAAAATTTAACTAACAACATGTCTTAATGTAAAGAATTTTTCAATACCAATAATTTAGCATAACTTTTACTCCGTATATTTTAATTCATTATTTATTTTTATATGTAATTAATCAAATGTTTGACAGCCAAAGCGAAACGGACAGTTAAATAAGAATGGAGGGAGTAGTTGTCCATGTGTATATGCGATACACATGGTGTATAACTTGGGGTACACCGTACACCTAGCACACCGTACTACAATATCTCGTAAAATATATTAGAAAAACAATATTGAAAAATAATAAATTTAAAGTATTTCTTGGTACCAATAATTTAGTATGATTTTTATATTTTAATCCATTATTTATTTTTATACATAATTAGTCAAAGTTTGACACCCAAAAATGGGCAAGAAACTAAAACAAAATTAAACAAATAAAAATTGGGTAAAAATGAGTGGTAGAGAAAGGGATGAGGGACAAATAGGGTACACCTTTGGTGTACCCCTAGCATTGCTCAAATAGGAATGTAGGGAGTAGTTGTCCATGACTCCATGTGTATATGTGATACACATGGTGTGTAACTTGGGGTACACCATACACCTAGCATACTTCGTCGGATTCGAGTTCATGATTTAATGTCTTCACATTCGAATCGATTCCATGGGTTATGAATCTTTGCTTTAAAATAAGTTTGAATTTGTGTTAGCGCTTGCATGTTTATATGGAGCATGCTACATGTACCCAAAATTTGCACCCCATTTGTACATCAAAGGTATGCACTAATATCTTGATGGTTCATACTGACACAAAATATTGGTGCGTTAACAAAAATTAGCATTACACTAACACAAAAAGTTGGTGCATCCATGCGGTGTACAAAATGGGGTACAAATTTTTGAGATACAAATATTATTATCCTTTTTATATACTCACATATAAATTAATAAAGATATATGCCTCATATAAATATTTCATATATTACTATGCATTATGTCACCTCATACTTTATACAACACTTGATAGACTTTTATATGTAATTATTATTTTTTATTTTTACACCAACTTTAATATAAATTAAATTGAAAATAGTTTCAGTCAAATATTATAAACCGTAACTGTAACATTTTTTATGAGGCGAAGGATGTACTTCTTCCGTCCCTGAAACATCTTCCCTTATTGACTTTTTGAGGATTTAAAAAGGGAGAGATATTTTTGTGTTGATTTTCCAAAATATCTTTGATCGATGTGATGGGTAAAAGTAAGATATGATGTGTAGATTATTAGTAAAAAGGTATGGTGTGAAAGATAGGGTATGAAAAAGTAAGAAGTAAAAGTAATTTTTTAATAAAGAATGGAATATCTTTTGAGGAAAACAAAAAAATGAAAGGGAAATATTTTTTTTATTGGAAAGAGAATACAAAAGTAAGACAGATATAACCAAACAAACAAAAGTCAAGCCCAAACTAAAGAGCAAAACTAAGTGAAAACCAAAATGCCATCAAACATACTTCTCCCACTAACGCTGCATTCTGTTCACCTATCTGATTTTTTTAAAGTTTAATATAGTCTGATCTGATTGAATTTGATTTGATCTTATTGGATCCAATCTGATTGGATTAGATTTAATCTGGTATAATCTAATCTGATCTGATCTGATTGGATATGATTTGATATAAATTCAATTTGAATTAAAATTAAAATTATTTTTATAGTTATAATAATAGTAATAATAATAATAATATTAATAATAATAGCAATAATAAAAATTATAGTAATAATAGTTATAGAATAATAATAATAATAGTAGTAGTAATAATAGTAATAATAATAAATATAATAATAATAGTATTAATAATAACAATAATAATAATAATAATAATAACAATTGTAATAATTGTAATATTAATAATAACAATCATAGTAATAATGATAATAATAGTAATAATAATGACTATAATAATAATAGTTATATTAATAATAATAATAATAGTAGTAGTAATAATAATAATTATAATCACAATAATAATAGTAATAGTAAAAATAATAATAATAGTAATAATAATTACTCCGAGTTTTTTCCTAGTTTTTTTCTTCAAAAAGTTACTTATCTACAAAAAATGTAAAAAAAAAAATCTAGCCCCCATCAAATCCCCCTACAATAACACACATTCAAGTGGTAGGGCTGATGGGATGGACATATCACATGACGTCTACATGGCGGTACTTAGGCCTCACATCAGGCACATGATAACACATGGTCTTTCTTCAAACAAAAGCAGCTCAAGTCGCTTGACCCATGAACTCTGCAAGCTGACCACAGTCAAACAGGTCTATGTGGCGAGCTTAACCAGGCTTCATGCAGGGGCGGGTCCACATAGCTCTAATGGGGGCCCCCAGTCATTTGGAGCTTCTTAGTGTAAATTTTTTTTTAAAAGTAATTATAAGGACTGCCCCCAGTTCTGAAATTAAAGTGCCCCTGTGAAACGAATCCAATAAAATTTAGTTCAATTTCATCCCCAATGCCACAAAAATTAAATCTAATTCTTAAAAAAAAATTAGATCTGTAAATTAACCCTTCGGCCTTCCCTCTTCTAAGTTCTAATCTTCTCTAATACTCCAAGGTCTTTGCTCTAGGAGCGTAACACCTTGCCCATCTTACCATCCGTCCAGCGACACCATTTTACGTAAAAAAGGATTTTTTTTTGCCTTTTGATGGTTTAGTGATTTTTTTTGCCTTGTCTTGTCATTTTAGTGTGGAATAATAGGTCTATCATGTACAATGTACTTTTTTTCCCTTTAGATGTTGGGTTTTAACTTTATTTGCAATATAGTGTTCCTATTTTAGTATATATTTGGATAGAATACGAAATAAAATTGCTCAATAAATTGAATGCAATGTAAGAGCATTGGCAGCGGCGTTCCAAGCCAATGCCATGCCATACCACCTAGGACCAATGCCATGCCACCTAGGACAAAAAAATTTCCTTCCTTGCGTGGAAGCACCGTTCCTCCATGAAGTGCAAGGCTTGGGCGAGGCACTTATAACTTTTTTTTTTACTTTTCAATTTTTATATGAGAAAGATTTTTTTTGTAAAGTAATAAAACTTTTTTTTACTTTCTCCATCTCGCAATAGATTATAATACCTCTCGATATGTTTTGTTTATTTGTATGTTTTCATTGATTATTTAATTAAAAAAATTTTGTCACAACTTTTTTTGAAGTACTTTTGATGTAATTTTTAAATTTATAAGTTTTATTTTTAATTCTTATACCAATTTTTAAATGAAATGATTTTTAAAAATAGAGAGTTTTTGCATCGTAATTCTAAAATAATAATCTAAATTGAGATGAAATAGGAATAAATAAAAATATGGAGTAGATAACAAAAACATTTTTAATAATTAAAATATATATAAAAAATTATTATATGAGTAAATAGAAATATTTTCATGATAAAAATATATAAGTAAAATAATTTTTAATAATTCAAATATGGCAAAAATATGAAAAAAAGTGATGAAAACAATGACTTGCCACTGCAAGGCATGCCACTCCACTCACGTGCCACTCATTGACTGGACTGTTTTTTTATTGGTTGACATGCTTCACGTCAGCGTGTGGCATTCCATTTTTGCCTCACCATTGTTCATGCTCTAATGCTCCATAATACTCCGTACTTTTTTGGAGTGAGAATGCCATAGATTATTATTTTTTTTAGAAAAGTTTTGAACATTATGAACTAATATATTCCCTAATATGCATTCTCAATTTTAGATTAAAATTTTGAGAAAATAGTTGTTGCATTTTCTTTGTAGAAGAGTGGAGAATAATTTTTTAAAACAATTAATCCCTTCTACACGACTACACCCAATTCTAGATCCGTGGGTTCACATTCATCCGCCGGGTCGTTTTTTACCCATCCCGCGTCCCTTTCTCTCTTTGCTTTTTTGGGACGCAGCTGAGGTGGGTTCGGAATGCTAGTAGTAAAAAAGTACTCCCCTACCTAAATCTGAACTCCCTTTCAATCAATTTAACAGCTCACCTGCTGTTTTAGAGTAGAGGAATGCTACACCAAAAGTGTATCCCAAATATACATCAACCGCTTCTCTACCATCCACTTTTATTTGATTTTTAATTATTTATTTATTTATTGAATTTCTTGCCTTTTTATGTGGATAAGGAAAGGATGTGGGACATATGAGGTACATCTTTGGTGTATCCTAGCATTTTTTTTTAAAGTATCTCAAAATTACCATCAATTCACACTCCTTTTTTTTCTTACGTACGTTATAATTTTCTTAAGTTTCTTAATAAACACGTATTTTACCATTCACGCCATTGCATTTACAGATTTACTACTCTCTCTCAAAATGAAAACTTGGTATGTAGTGTGTACTTTCTCCATTAGTTATTTCTAGGTTTTGTTTGATTATTTGATAAAATAAAATATTTTTATCATCTCTTATTTTGTAAAATTTTTGATGTAATTTTTAAAATATGTAAGT